TGCAGGGCTCAGGAAGGGCACTGGGAAATCATCGTATGGATATTGCTTTAAATATGTTTGAAAATAATCCGCAAATAAGCATACGAAATGTCTCAGAAATTATGGATATACCTCGCTCGATAGTTAGAAAAATTTATGAATACCTGTATATATAAACCTGTTTATATACCTATATATATACGTATATATATATACCTGTATATATATATATATATACCTGTATATATATATATACCCGTATGTATATTCCTCTATGGAGCCTTCATCAGGATCTGGAAACACAATACAGTTCCACATTCCGTCGCGTCAATCACATGTCATCTGTCGACGCATTATCTTTCCGTTCCGTCCATCTTCTCCACGCGAAGCGGAAGTAGGAGGTCAGAAACTGCATTCCGATTGTGTCCCCAAAATTGTTTCCCGTTAATTAATTTTTGATATGTTCAGATGTATTGATTTATAGTTTTAATACATAACGATTGTATCTGCCGTTATCAATAAGCCCAATGTTTCTGTCCGATTGGTTTTATATTTGCAACAAGTGCTCATATCCACGTTCGTTTTGAAACACCATTTGGCTACAACCTCAACGACGAGTGAGTTGCTTGACAATTTAAGTCGTTCCTGTGTTGGTTGCTAGCATCACAATTGTGTTTTCAGATCCTGATGAACGCTCCATAAAGAATCGCCGAAAGCTTGATATTATCGTCAAGAGAGTTAACTAAAGCCTAAAAGTTTGCCAATTTCCCAATTAACAATTAATTGTATTTTTTGCCCTATATATATATATATATATGGAGCCCAGTATATAGATACCGATTGGCCTCTTGGCCTGTACCTTGCTCAGTATCATGATCCATCATACCCATATCTCCCCAGCTTACCTTACTGATGATTACTGAAAAGCATGAAACAACGTGTACATTATTGTTATGCTCTCCAATTTACATTTACAAAAAATGTAATCCAAAAGAAAACGCACAGTAACAAATTGGAATAAAAAACCTTGCAGTGTACAAAGACAAAGTCTCAACTACACAAACATTTTATTGCTTTAGAAAAAGCCCTTAAGTCACTGAATCAGTTCCTTTGATTACTTCGCCTAATTGTGCTCATCTCCTGTTCATCTGTCGGAAATTATCTATCGATAAATAAAACTTTTCCGTTCAGACAGTTGCCCTGGAAATAACGGGGAAGTTAAAAGCGGAAAACTTCGGTAAGAGCTTTCCATGATTTGTTTTGCTTTTTCGGTTAGTACATTAATCTTTAATAAACACACGGCCAGCCAGAAGCCGGATCTACTACGCTCTATTTCGTTTCCTGACTTCTTTTTGTTTTTGGAACGAACGTTTCCTTCTGTGCGGCATCTTACTTTTTTATTTACTTGATTGTCTGTATACCTGGGCTAGCTTTATTTGTTCCCTCATACAGAGGCATATTGGTTACTCTCACGAGATATTTGTGATGGATGTTTTGTGCGGAGGAATCCAATGCTTAGTTTAAGTGGTAATAAATCATTCAAACCAAGCTAGCCTTACGGCAGTGATCAACTTATCACAATTCTGTTATCAAACACATACTTTTAACAGGATTTTGATAATAGCGGACAATTTGATTAGAGTTTTAAGAGCAGAACTAATGCCTGCTTATGGAAATTGTATAAGCTGATTGAGCTTAACATTAAAGTCAGGAACGATTATTTTGCAACTAAGTTCCTTGTGATTATTTTTATAATAATAATGGTCTAAAAAAGATTGAAGTAGCTTCTTGACAAAAGTATAATAAGGAGTCTACGTAAGTCAACCACCAGATTAATAAAGAACTAATGGAAAAAACTGAAAAACCTTTTTTCTTGATTACATTGTATCACGTCCATTGAGAAGAAACAACGTGAAGAGAATCGCGGCGACACTTTTTTACACACGTCAGATGTGACACGTCGCTTCCCTTCCATCGCTCCAGTGCGCGGGCTTCCCTTTCTCTCAAGGGACGTGCATCTTATGAGAATTAGAAATATGTGGTATATTAAAAAATGCTTCTTGATACATAGTACATGTACATAAAATTTCATTAAAATATCTGGTTATTACAGATATTAATATTTTTTATTTCTGGCATCAATCTAACCTACTCTATCACAACCTACCAGCCGTTTTCCCAAAGCAAGAAAGCTATGCAAATAAGGAGGGCATAAAGGCGTCCTGAAATTATTGTAGGAACGACTCACGATATGGCCCTCAAAAGTGATCTATCATAAGTCAGAGTGTACAAAGTTCCAATTATTTAGCAGGTCTATCTTCAGTGATCACCTATGTTTTTGCTAATGAAATTAGATTTTTCGTGTACTCCGTGTACTGAGGCCATTATAGGTGAAAGCGTAAAGATACCCATCAATCACGAAATGTCGGAAACTATTTCATTTACAAAAAAATATTTTGAGAGGAAGGTAGTTTACAGTCAGGACATCTCAGGTAAATGGATTGTGTGGCAGGGCCAGATCAGGGATTAAAGAGCACGTGCAAGTTTATTTTAAATTGCTTGGAATCTTCTAATAACTGAAAATTGGCAACTATGAGATTCTATTTACTGTAGACTTAAACGAAGAATGGATTGTGTAACCGGAGATTTGCTGACTTTTACAATGTAAAATTTAGTTTAATTTAAGATGCTAGTTCCAAAAAATTACTAATACTAATTTGTTAACCGTTCGAAGCTATTGATTTTCAACTTTTTCACAAAGTAACCTTATCTCCTTCAAAATACTATCCACTACAACTAATACACTTGTCCTACTGGTGCTTCCACTGTTCGAAACGTTTTTTGAAGTATTCTTTAGAAATGTCTCACTGCTCCTTCCTCGTTTTTTTCTTGACCTCTTCAATGTCATCAAAGCTGCGTCCTTTCATGTCCCTTTTCAGTGCCAGATGACGCTAATAAGGTGTGTAAGGCAGCGGAACCATGCCATTTTTAGCCAGAAACTGTCGAACAGAGATGTCTGTGTGCGCAGGTACATTATCGGCGTGGTGGGAGAACCAGTCTCCTGACTGACACAACTAGATCGTTTTTGCCGAACGTTGTTTCGCAATCGTCTTAAAACCTCCAAACAAAAGGTCTGATTGACATTGTCTCTTGGGGGAACAAACTCGGAATGGACTACACCTTTGACTTAAAAAAAAAGCCAGATCAGCATCGTTTTGATGTTTGATTTGACTTGACGACATTTTCTTGGCGGGGTGACGATAGCGTCTTTCATTGACTTGACTGTTGCTTCGTTTCTGGGTCATAACCATAACACCAAGTCTCATCACCAGTGGATGATCTTTGACAGAAAATTTTTATCTGATTCAAGCTGTTGTTTCAAAGCACGACATGTTTCAATTCAGTGTTTTTTTTATTGTCAGTCAGAGCCCGAGGAACAAACTTGGTAGAAAACTTTTTCATTCCAAAATCTTCCGCTAAAATTCGCTGAACCGAACTCCAGGACAATCCACTACTTACGGATAGCTGATCGATTGTCAGTCTACGGTCTGCAAGCACAAGCTCTCGAATTTAATCTACATGTTCGTCGATTCGGGCAGTTGATGGACGTCCAGAGCGAGGTGTGTCATGAGTTGACATGTCGCCATTTTTAAGTCGAGCAAACCACCCATATACCTGAGTTTTCATTTTTCAACATTAAAACAGCTTCAGCAGCATATCTACCAATCAGAAAGCAAAATTTCACGGTTGCACGTTGCTCACTGAAGCTTGCCATCGTCAAAAACGAAACAAGCACGAAAAAGTTCTAGCAAAAATAATAACGACCGAGGAGCGAAACAAGCCAGATCGACAACTCAGGTGGCACTGGACTGCAAATTCGTTCCGCTGTACGCCTCTGGGGGCAGAAATTTGTTGTACACAAACTTCGCCCACTGCTATTCCGTTTATTTTTTGGTACCTCCTCGTACAATGCAGTTATAGCAATACTTAAAACCAATGTTATATGTTAGTAAGAATTTAAAGCGTAGGAAGTCGCAGGTAACAGCTATACAATTACTTAAAACTTATATACAATTGCTAAAATTAATGACCACGTGGATACCGTACGACGCGAGCGACGATTCAATTGACATCGAAATTCATATGTGCAATTTTAGCTATAGTTTATCAATACATTGCATATACATGTTTTTATCTTGCCAATGTTAATTTAATCGTAATTAACATCTTTGTTTTTGAATGTATCTATACTGATCATGTATCTATATGTATTACTATTATTATTTATGTACGATAATGACGTGCAATATCTCGATGAGATGACCTACTTGATATGTTTATATAGACTTTATGCATTAATTTCAAAAGTTCTATCGAATCTTAAAGTTATGCAACAATAAACTGAAACACCCTGTATATAGAAGCGGTACTAAAACAGCCTTGCGCTGCTCCAATGTCGATATTGTCCGTTGCGGATGTAATTCCATTAACTTTTGTTTTGAATTTCCTGTCGGACAGGAAAGACACTACCCAATCTAATATAAAACCTCTTAAAAACTAAATAAGTAATATCATAAGGGCATCTAATTTTTCCGAAAAAAATTAGATGCTCGAATGGTATTTGACAAGACCATTTCATGAGATTACTGGTGTCCTAGGAGACTATAATTACTTGTTATCAAAGGTATTGTAATTTTTTGTGACAACAGCTGTCGAGTGCCGCCATACAATTTTTCCATTCAAAAACCATTAGTAATTTAAAATTGCCCGTTTATGATTGGTAGACGTTAAGACGACGGAAATGGTCAGGCTCAATAAATCATGTGTGATAGGTTGAATTGCGTTGGAGAGAAGTATTTACCTGCCGTAGCAAAAAATATGCAGAAAGGTATTAGTACTCTAGTAAACATTCCAACTCTTGGTATTTCTTTTACAAAGAACTGATCCAAATTTAGTTTTTGTTGAACTTCCTGCGAGACTAGTTGATGAAATTTGTGATATATCAAAATGTATTCCAAGACGTTGAGTGTTGCGCACGCGATATGTTCTAACACAGAGTGCAAACTGCGAATGAGTTTGAGGCGACAGGTCCAACATCGCAATTTAACAAGGTACGCGGATATATTGTTTAATAATTAGAAAATCATATGCTCCATAAAATGGAAAGGCGCAATTTAACCGATTTTGATAAACTTTGTCAAAATAATAAAATTACTATATTTTGGGGGTGTCTGTACCAACTGATGCTAAACATGACCTCAACTTAGAGGTAAACGACATTTGACTGAATTTGACCTCTCACACTAGCCAAAAGCTTGATACACTGGTAGAAGTACTTGGGATTGAGGTCCGGACTCGATTTCATGCTGTAATGTATACGTGCATTATGTAGTCAAATCGTTGCACATAAAACATATCAACATGAAGAGTCCGGACCTGATTATTACACTTAGATCTAAGTTCTTATGTATTCGAATTCATAAAACTATGACATACTGTGACCTCATATCATCGTTAATTTTCTATCGCCTATACTAGCAATTTTTGTGTTTTTGTAAGTTAGAAAAATATTTCATTTAGTCGTACTGAATATGGAACATGATTTCAATTCATTGTTATCTTAGTATCTTGCTGATATGTCTTATGTTTTTATATATAGATTGCGGTACCGCGAAAAACGAACATTGACAACAAGAGGCGTATGCAGTACAGACGTTGGTGGGACAGCGATCCTGAGTTCCGTCAAATGATCGTCAACAAGTTGGATTCTGCTGATCCCACGGATTCTGCTTCAAATACTCAGAGAAGCAGTTCACAGGTAGACGGTGATACACTAGATGGGCTATTACCGATTTCAGTCACAGGTCGTCGAGGCTGATCTCGTCGACATCCTGTCCAAGGATTTTAAAAATAACATGGATGAAATAGACACGGAATGTGTACGCTCTCCATTATTTTACTATATGTTTGTATGATGTCTTAAAATGTGCATGTTATTTACAATTCTATAGTTTTCACTGTAAGAAGTCTGGCTGCGTAATTTATGCAAAATGTGGCCGATCCAAGTATTCGCACTACTTTACAATTTCGGTAACTGCCGTGGATTCATATCTAGCCCATATGTGTTAATACAAAGCTCAGGCCCATTACTAGCCTCGCATGGTAATGACGTGATACCATTTAGACAAGTCCGGGGCCGCGAAGGAGCAAAGCTCGCCAACATATTAAAATATCGGGGCACTCGTGAGTTTCAACTAAAAGTTATTAACAAAGCTGATTCCGAGCTGTTTGCAAGATGGCAACTCACAACAAATACGGACATTACCACAAAATAGTGTCTGAAACGAAATGTAGGAGTAGATCACAATTACAATCTCGAGAACTATCAGACATATTTCAGTTGTGGATTGAACAACACAAAACACGGGACCCATATTCACGATATGTTGCATTGCCTATAACTGTACTATGTAATAGTGAAAGGCATCCAAATTTGGCGGAGACAAAGGAAACAGTAGCCCATTTAGATGCTACTGGCTCTATTTGTCGAAAACCCAAGTCGGTAAATATTTTTTTATTATTCTAATGTGATAAAATGCCATCAATCGACGATGCCGATTGCTGAGATGACGACATCTCGGCACGACATCACATCTATTTCGACATTGCTCAAATCAATAAAATCTTTCATAATCAGTAAGGTACATAAATGGTCATTAATAAAAGCAGTAGTCATTGACTGAAGCTGGCTTTTTACTGATTCGTTAGTGAGCGAGTGGATCGGCATTGATATTGTACAGTATTTGATGTGCCTGTTTGATCACATATCTCCATCCAACCCATTTTCAAGTGATACTTTAGTCATCATAATATGCTGGGGTCAACTCATCAAACGCGTCTTAAAAACAATTCATAGAAATTCCACTCAGTATATTAATATTAAAAAGATTTTATTGCAATTCATAATTTTATTATTGGTATGCAGAGGGTGGGCACAGTTGCGATCCATCTTCCAGCATATTCTTATTATTTCACTAACGAGTTGTCAGGAGGCTAATAGAGCGTCCAAATATCTTAAAGCTTTGTTAGACTCAAATTCGAGGTTCGAAACTTAGCGGAATCTCCCGACAATGAAACAGTTTGCGATGATGATGTAGAGTTCGAACTGCAGGACTAGATAAACTATATATTGACGGTCACCTTTCTACCACCTAAGTGATTTTGAAACTATTGTCCAAAAGGCGAGTGATATATCCAACATCTATCATGCGCCGGACTTTGAGTCATTACGTGTATGACATATGTTCCGATGTGGTTGGAATTATGTTTGGATTCTGTGGATCCGAATATATCGAGAGTAAGAAATGCTTACGTTGAGAGTCACTTTCGTGTATAGGAGCACATCCTTCGTGGGCATTGCCGACACTCCGTTGCCGACATTGTTCGTGGTCTTAACGACTATGTCGAACTACTGTTTACCGAAAACAATGTCAAATTTCCCACGAAAGCATTACTTACAAATATTAAACGAGCTGCATACTCTGACCTAGCATCCAAACCTATTGGAGATTTGGAAAAAGGATCCCCAAGAAGCGCCACATTCAATGAGCTGACAGAAGTTGTGGCAAGAAAGATCGGCAGCAAGAATCTCCCTATCAAACTGAATTAGATGTATCTACACCTATGGGAGATAAAACTTTCCAACCAGTTTCAATAGCAATACTGACAAACGGGCTAGTAACAAATACAGTGTCTGCAATCCAACTCCTTCAACATAGATATTGGACTGTATGAAGCGTCGAGAATACCTCCATTGCTGTCAACGTTTTATCAAATTTCGCTCAAGAGTTTTCGACGCTAAAATACCCTTCTTATATACGTATAGACGGTGTCCCTATGGATTGCTTTTCCATGACTCATATGAATCAATGGGATAATGCAATGTACCTTTCCACCCACGATAGCATAGTTCGCTCTGAAAATTGGGAGCGTCGTCGCAGTGATTCATGTGGCATCTTTAATATATCTCAGGCACTGAAGGGTAAATTATTGATGCCATATTTGTACCAGATGCTTTGACGTTTGTTAGTAGTGGATATTACAACTCAAGCATTATCGTTGTTAGATCCATTCCAAATAACTACTGACCGCGCCAGAGTAAAAATGGCTTTCGATCAATTCCTCGCCCAGTGTCACGAGCACTCCACACTAAGATCTCTGCAGACCAAATCATGCAAATTTGTTGGAATAAATGACCGACCATATCAATCACGAAGGGATAGTGCGAATTGTGGATGCTATCTGATGCACTATATTAAATGTGTTGGCATGGATGAGCTTTTTGATTTGGAATTCAATCTCGTTAAATATAGATACACAGTTGCTGCAACTCTTGTGGACTCTTCAGAAGATGTCCGTACATTATTCTTATACTGTTTCAGTTGCCAGCGGTTGACATTCGAGATGGTACAGTGTACAAGCAAATTATTCATAATTCTTGCCTTGATAGAAGTGAACGTGACACATCTGAGGATGAGGAAGTGCCCGTTGGCCGCACCTTACGCAAAAGGAGCAAACGATCAATTAAAGATATTGGTTTGGAACAGAAATAAAACAGATTTTCATGTAAACTATGGACCAGATGGCATAGCCGATAATGTAATGTAACTCATATTCGTTCAGTTTTTAGCCTTATGGTTTCTTTTGCACTTGTCGTGTGCATCCCGAAAATGTTTTAATTAATCTGTCTAGTCCACTAAATAATTTGTGGAGTTGTAAAAGTAATTTTCATTTGTAAGACATAGTACCAAAGAATTTGTGTATAAAGCACTAGAAATGAGGTTCGATTGAATATTGTATTCTAGTCCAAAAAATGCACGATAGGCACTGAGGGGTGGTACAAAACTAAATGAAATCTCGGTAACTTGACAAAGCTGCATTTTGCAGACAGCATTACATGATGTATTCGATATCTGTGTAAACGTAAGAGTTCCCATGTAAAGCACACCATTGCTTTCCGTAATGTTTCATTACGTTTGTTGAACGTTTTTTATCTAGGCAACTATTACGGTAACCTGATCTTACAAAATATCAACCAGTGCAACTAAGGGAGGTTTCCAATCTAACAAACTGGATCTGCAGCAAGTGTATGCAACTTATTAGAATGGGAACGCCACTTCTTCGGCACTAGACTGTTTTCCTCATCGTAATTGTTTGGTACATGTTGACAATAATCGTCTGGTTTATATATTTGTATCATAGCATTTTGCAGAGGACGGTTCAGTCACGAACCTTAATGCGCAATGCATGTTTGACCCTGAAACTTGTTCAGCAACATGTTTCAATATCTGCTTTATATATTTTTATCTTATTTCCCTTCCTATTATTTCTGGTGTTAGTTTTTATTTTTGTATTCATGTGTTTGTCAATTAGATAATACACTACTATTATTTCCATGGCTATTATTATTACTCTCGACAGGAAACACCCTCAACCTTCGTGATACGGTAACAAGTAAGAGCAACCTATTTACTGCATTTTTTGGCGCCACATGCCCATATTTCACGATTTACTCGTAGTCACGTCTTATGAACAGCATACCTCCGTATTGTTGAATTTGATTCCCCGAATGAATGCAGCAGCTTGCTCAATTATCGGACGTAATTGGTCAACCTCAGTTTTGTACACCAAGAGTTTCATTTCGCCTCAAAGAAAAAAATCACGTGGTGTTAAGTCTGGAGATCGCGGAGGCCATGCTACGGGTCAATTACGTCCGATCCACCTATTCGGAAATTGTCTTACACTCAAAGGCACATCTTCTAGCAGGGTTGTGTGTGATACTGGTAGACTTACTTTACTCGCCAAGAATGGTGACTACAACTACATATATAGCATAATAAGTTCCAAGTCTCAGGTAATTCAAGAAGTGTAATATTAATGACCAGCAGTATATTTTGTTCACTTAATCTAAAATCTTTTGAAACGCAATTTTCAACTTTTACACTGGAAAATTGAAATCATTTAAATAGAGTGACATTATTTACCTCCTCTTTCTACTAACTCGGTATGGGTGATTTATAAGGTTATTAATGGAAAATGCTTTTTGAAAGGGTCAATATTAATTCTTTATGGCTCCACACGGTTTATTTTCGACACCAATATCGATTGAACTATCATACTTCATACTTTTCATACAAGTATTTTTTTGCTATAATCGAACAGGAGAAGTGTAGATATATTTTAAACCGTACCAGATGCTCAAATGCAAAATTGCTTGAACATCATCCAAATGGCCTTTTTACATTTAGACGTGACACTCCGGTGTTGTCTCTCAAAGTAATTGTCTAGTGTTACTCCATATTTCAAAACCCCCCACGAAGTCGCACTCACCTATATTCGTATGTGGATGCAGGTTCTTTTACCTCGGCAGCTTTATGGCGGTGAAACATGAGCACTAGGGTGACTAAAGGTCGTTCCTCACCGGGGGTAATAGGTTTAGAAACACATTTTACGTTTACAAGGTGGTCTGGAGAATAGCATTTCTTTGTTAGTGGAAATCGTATAGGTATTGTTATCAACAAATCATCCGATATCGTATCGTTTCAACGTCACTGGACGCGGTTTTCATATTGAAACTGTATTGCGTTTAACTGTGTATGAAAGACGGTTATCTACTTTGAGCAGTGCATTAAGCTCACATGCTTGATACTCTCAATACAGGAGGGTGTGTAATTAGCGCCTGATGGTACTTATATGAATTTTATCCCTAATAGTCTGGGAGCAGAAACTAAGTGGTATTTGTAACTTTGTAAACCTTGCTTAGATAGTTTGAACTGTTTACATGATAAAGTTCATGAACAAGAAGTCAATTGAGGTCTACGCCTAAACGCCCATTATTGCTGACTGGGTTGAAAGGATCCCCTTGATCTGTTGTCTTCTATGAGAGTTGGTACTTTCAAATATGATTTCGTGAGATAACTCTATTAATGAAATGGTAATTAACAAAAAAGTTGTTCATTTCTTTTCTCTTCGAAGTGAAACGTTCCAAGTTTGAAATTATATAATATTAGCTTTAGGGCATCGTTTACCCGAAGTTAATATCTTCGCTTAATTTCAGTTACATATTTTTGCATTTGTAGTGCTTGTTACGTTACGTAAGAAAGATGGAATACTCAAAAACAGCCAGTTGACAGCCCAGCCATGGGCAGCTGTTTCGTACTATTTGTTAACTCCTCAGCATGGAGTAAGCTTGGTCGTGGACGATGAACGAAACCTGAGCAACTCCATTGAAAGTATGAGGCTTATCAAAATAACATATGTTCAGTGTTTAGTGACGAGTAGACCGTACCTACAGAGAGTGTCCGGTGGCAGAATTCGGATTTAAAATCTAAATTGAAAAAAAAAACTACAAAAGATAAACATTTATTTCAATAATTACTATAAAGAAGAATAGTGCGGGTTTTATTTCTTAAAAATCATATCATCTAAATGCTGACCATTTGTTGGTGATCGATTGTTTTTTCGAGGAAGGTCACGTGATAGGTGGGGTTCGGGGCGATTGACGTCGACGCGGTTTTTTCGTTTTTTTTTCCCGGTACGCGAAACGTTTGAAGGCGATACCGTTTCAGAAACTAGAAGCTCGGCGCTTTACGGGCGGGTGAGAGCCGGCGCGGTGAGAGGAAGAAAAGCGTTCGAAAACGGCTGGTAAAGTCGAAAAAAACGGTGGATTTTCGCGCGGTACGGAGACTTTTATCGAAATATCGACTCGAGATCGGTCTCGTTCGATAGCTAAACGACGGGCGGTGGAACTATTTCCGTTACGCATCTTAGTTTTTTTTCTAGAAATGTTCAAAGAAAACGCGAGAAAAATGGCAAATTGCAGTAAAAACTCCGATATCTCCTATATGCCGAAGAGAAAAGGATTTTCGCGTGCCGCGTTTCGTACATCTCGACGAGTACTATAAATTACGTGGTGAGAGTTTTTTCCGTCTAGGGCACCGGTTTTGAATAAACGCACTTCGAATGTCGTCTCGAATGACTTTTTTGCGTATAAAGCGGGCTTTTCGCTGTCCACGGTCTATCTCATCCGAAGATAACGAAGATACGGACCTGGCGACTTTCGCATAAGAAAGCTCATACTTCGGACTCGGGATGGCAACTTTATCCATTTCTTTATTTGGTTTCGTTAAAAAGTTTCGATTTTTTAAAAATTGCTCGACAATATGCTACTTTTCGATCCGTGAAAAAGTCACTTTGTTTTCCGGCTCTATCCTCGCCTATTACTACTATACGTAAGCGAGTAAAAATTATATACCGATCGAAAAATAAAGATATTGAGCTTAGGAAACGATTCTGACCGTTAGAATTCCCGTCAAATTTCGAAAAAGTAAGCTATTAGCGCCTCAAAAGTACTGATGACAGCCGTTTTTCGTCGTACTTTGTCTTCTCCGATACAGATCTTCATTACGGATCGACACAGCTACGATTTTTTTTTTTTTCGCAAAACGAAAGACTCCTGATTAACCCGATGTACAACACGTTAACCGATTGCACTTCTTAAACTCGGCATATTAGAAAATTTCAAGATATGCAGATACTTTGAGTTTGACAGGTGTGTTTTGATTTTCGTCAGAGATTCGTGATTCCTGTTAGGCGGGGTATTGTAGGTACGATAATATTACGAAAGCGAGCGCGTGCCAGCGGAACGTCCAAAACGTGCCATTTTCGGCTTTATGACGATCGCTTCATCCAATATTGGATCATACCGAACAGCATTGTCCTTTTTTAACGCGTGAAAATAAACATTAAGAGATTCAAATTCAGAATTCTATAACTGTAATGATAATAACAATCTAGTAGGTTGCAATGTTTACCGGCAGCTGGCGCAATTAGGCTTTGACGTTTAGCAGTTTATAGAAGTCATCATCAGTTTAAATACGATAAATATGATACTAACCACAACATAGCAAGACTTTATGCTTTAAGCAGTCTATTATTGTCTAGTGATACCGGGTGCCAAGTGTTTACAGTTTTTCGGTTTAGACGACGTGCCACAGTGTATATCGTGATAATTTATTTCATCTTTAAAATGATTTGAGAGATACCCTTATTAATCTGCAGCAAATTTAAATAAGGTAAACAATTATCATTCCTGTCTATTTATGACAATGACATTGACATCACAAAACAGAAAACATTTACACCGAAGAAGGAACAGTCCCGTGCTATCCATAGGCGAACACGGTTGATTTATGTCAGTGACAAGCGCCATTTCCTTTGGACGTCAAGTGGTTGCCAGGTTATGTAGAAACGACACATGCGACGTTGCCGGCTCCTCACATAAATCCGAGTCTGTTATACAATTTTATAGAGGGTATTTTTAATGCTATATGGAAGATTTTATAACGCCATGTGTGATATGGTCGGGCATACTCTTGAAATCTCGCCTCAGTATTTTGTGCCACTCGCTGCAAAAGTGATTGTGGGATAGCATTAATCTAGCGAACCATATTATCTTTAAGAGCTAAGATGGTCGCTGGGTTTCTTACATAGACTTTTCAGAAACCTCTCCTCAGAAATGAGTCCATGTGGGTAAGATCCGGTGGCCTGGGTGGCCAGTTTATTTCACCAAAACGACTTATCAGTTTGTTAGGGAAGAAATCTCGAAGAAGCTCCATGGTATTTCTAGCAGGGTGAGGTATGGTGCCATCTTTTTGAAACCTTGCTAGGATAGACTGTTACCGCTCTGAAGGTGGTTTGCGTGGTGGGTTGTTATAGGTGTCTTGGTCATTTGCTGGTCGGCACGTTGACGAGATGTCACTTTCAAAAATAGCTCTAAAACTGCTACTCACAGAAAATGCATCGTTAAAATATATCATTTCAAGGCCTTATCCATTATGTCTGGTTCATCACATAAATAAATCACGGGGAAAAAAGAAAAACGCATTTAACATAAAACAACTCTTCATTTACTCATTTGTAATTGTTAATGTAAGTTATCAAATCCGAATTGTTCTCCATTTGTAAGGGTATACCATGAATTAAATTTTGGATCATGTGTCACTGGTACCGATTGCTGAATATTATTTTCTACCGCTTCAGTTTCAGCCAAAATTAATTCTTGAATCTTAGAACTCAACCTTAGTTTACTTATTGATGGA